GACTCTTCAGAGCGAGGACAAGCACTGGGAGGGGGGCCTGCGGCTGCCACATTCCTCCCGCTCAGTTCCTGCCGCAAAAGCGCTTCCTGAGCGCGGCCAGCAGCCCATCCCACCCTCCCGGGCGCCCTGGTCGCCTCCCCGACCCTCCAGTCCCCGAGGCCAGCAGAGCCTGTTCTGGTGTGATCTTCGGTCACCGGTTTCTAGTTCCCGTGGTTCAACCAGCAGTTACTAAGCCCTATGTTGGAGGGTACCTTCCCCGAGCAAGAACCACAGAAATAAAAAGGGCAGGGCCTCTGCCCTCAAAAACAGTGAGATATTTACATATATGCATGGTATTTACATATGTTATTTATAAATAATATATTTTGTAATTATTTATGAATACATTATGTATAATGTATAAAAAACATCGATGAGAGAGAAACATCATCTATCGGCTGTCTCCTGCACGAGCCCACAACGGGGAATCGAACCAGTGACCTCTTGGTTCATGGATGGGAGCTCAACCACTGAGCACACCGGCTGGGCTCTCATCGATGTTCTCTCTCTCTCTCCCTCTTCCTTCCCCTCTCTGAAATCAATAAAAACATTTTTTTTTTTTAGCCCTAGCTGGTTTAGCTCAGTGGATAGAGCATTGCTGTGGACTGAAGGGTCCGGGGTTCAATTCCAGTCAAGGGCACATGCCTGGGTTGTGGGCTTGATCCCCAGTAAGGGGTGTGCAGGAGGCAGACGATCAATGATTCTCTGTCATCATTGATGTTTCTATCTCTCTCTCCCCTCTTCTCTGAAATCAATAAAAATATATTTAAAAAAAAGATGGGCTTTGGCCCGTGCTGGTGTGGATAAGTGATTGGAGCATTGTGCAGTACCCCAAAGGGTGGTAGGTTTGATTCTCCATCAGGGCACATACATACCTGAGTTGTGTATTCTTTCTCTCTCAAATCAATAAAAAATATTTTTAAAAATCAATGAAAACATATTCTCACATGAGGATTTTTTTTTTAAATTGGATTTTGGCTTTTAGACAGTCTGGATTTGAATCAGCACTTAGCTAAGGGACCATCCGTGAGCCTCAGTTTTGTCATATATAAAATGGGGTGATAATAGTTCCTATCATATAACTGTCAGGTAAAATAATATGTGTAAACTGCTTAGCCCAGGGCCTCACATACAAAGTGCTCAAAAATGTTTTTATTACTATTTGTATATTATTATCATTACCTCTGCTAACATTTCGGTGTATTTCCCTCCTTCTGCACGTATTGCATTACATTGGATGATAATGTATGTACAATTTAGTATCCAATTTTTTCACTTTGCATTACACCACTAATATTTTCTCATATTACTGTTTTTCAAAAGCATTATTTTAATGCTTATGTAATAATTGTGTAATCATTTCCCCTTTGGGGGTGTTTTGGCAGTTTCTGGTTAAAGTTCACCCCACCACCCTGGCTCAGGCTCCTAACAAGGTGTCCATCGGGGCAGATGGAGACAGTGAACAGATCTGCCCCCAGGCAGACGCAGCAGCCGCTATGGCTCCCAACGATCTCAGCAAACTTTGAGCCCCTGGTGCGGCATCTATTTCTCTCAAAACTCAATCATAAGAAAACAAACAATTAAAGATGGGCTGGCAAAAGACTCTGACAAACACTTCCGCAGGGAAGATATATGGGTGGCAGTTAACACATGAGGAAATGCTGGCCATCATTACTTGGCAGGGAAATGCACATCGAACCACAGTGACCTGGCACTGCACGCCCAGCAGAAAGGCAGAGTTAAACAAATCGCCTGGCGACGCCGAGTCCTGCTGATGGGGACCCACGCTGGGTCAGCCACTTTGGAAAGCGGGTTGACATCTCTTAGAAACTGAAGCCAACGTTTGCCACGAGACTGGGCCATCTCCTTCGTGGGTATTCGTCCCAGAGAAGTGAAAACGTGTGTTCACACAAAGACCTGTGCATGAATGTGTAGCGTCTGTGCTCATAACTGTCCCAAACTTTTCAGAAATAGCCCAAACGTCCCTCAGCGGGGGTGGATAGGCATGCTGCGGTGCCACTGTGACCACGGGTCCGGCAACGTAACGTAAGGATCTACGGACCCTGGGACAGCGGGCGCAGATCTCAGGTGCCTGTGCTCAGTAGAAGGAGCCAGAGCCCCAACAGTATGTGTGTGTTCAGCATATCACATTATGGGAAGGGCAGACCTGGAGGGAAATAACACAGGTTGGTAGGTGCCAGGACCTGGTGGTAGGGTTGGCTACCAAGGGGCAGTACCAGGGAATGTTTTGGGGTATGGAAGTGCTCTGTCTATTGGATGTGGTGGTAGTTACATGGTGTCTGCATTTGTTAAAACTCATAGAACTGTAACTACAAAGGGTGACTTTTACTGTGTCAATTATACTTTAATTTTTAAAGGGGGGGCAGGGACTAACATTGATACGGTGCCCAGAGGAGAAGGGTGCTGCACACCGAGGGAGAGGAGTGTGTGTTGAACTCATAACGCCTGGCCTGCCTCCTGTTACTGCCAAGTCCAGTGTAAAAGTTAGTGGAAGAAACATTAATGAAGACTTTGTCACCCAACACAGGGCAGGCCCATCCAGAGCCCAGCTGTCTCAGGAACAGAAGGTCTGGGTCATAAGGACCCTGGTCAGCAGAGAGCAGGCTGAGCGCAGGCACGTGGGGTGGGGGTGGAGGATGAAAGTCTAAGAACTACCCGCAGGCAGTAGCATCTGCAGAAAGGACTCTAGCATCACCCGGCTTTTCTTCTTGCTGTTTCATGCATATGTAGGGTGCCCCCCAAAATGTTTACACACTTTGAATGAGTATAAAGTCAGTGTTTATTAGCATACAGTTCACTTTCAAAATTTAAAAGAATCTACAGAAATGAATAATTTTCTTTGTCAAATCCTGTTTTCAAACGGATGACGGTCCTGGTCCAGGCCCTGCTGATAACACGAAGCAATGGAATCGCAAACATCAAGAATCGTTTCGTTCCGTGTTTGTGAGCCCTCAGCTGTTGCCAGTTTGTAGTGTGAACTTTATCTTTTCTGTATCCCCATAAAAAGGGCTAGTGGATAAATGTTCTTCGTTCAAAGCTTAGTCTGGCTTCACCCATTATTTCAAATCAGTTAAACCTGAAAAGGAGTGAAAATGGAGTGAGTTATCAGCTGTTAAAGAGTGTACACATTTTTAGGGACACCCTGTACTTATATATCTTATAACTCTCTTCTTTCTTGGTGGTGGCTAACTTTACAATTCAGCCTCTAAGTTACAGAATACTGAGATGTGGTCGTGACCAAGCTAAAAGCGGGGTGACCTCACAAAGACATCCTGGACAGCCCTGGGCAGCGACTGGGGAGAGCTGGGCAGGCACGCACGTTGGTCTTCAGAGGACAGTGCGGTGTGTGTGAGGGCAGCACCGACAGGGAGGGGGCCTTTGAACGTGGAAGGCGGGTCCATGAGGCTTTTCACCAGCTGAAGGGAGGGACCCACTGAGAACAGAGCCACAACTTCAGGGACCAGAGGGTGAGGTGGAACAAGGGACATGGTCACAGCAGCCACAGAAGACCGTCCGGGCCCCTCCCTGCTCCCTCCACTCCGTCCAGGCTTGGTCAGGAGAGCGGGCGGGGAAGAACCCTACAGGCTGAGCCTCCCTGCCGCCCTCACTAAACAAGACGGGGCTAGATCATCAGAGGAAATGAGAAGTTACAATTCTGGTGCAGCCCAGCTGTCATTTGAGCTACTTCGTGGGGAAGAAAGGTTGTCTGTGGGCTGGGCAGCCTGCACTGGAATGGAGGAGGCATTTACTGTTTGCCCGGAATCCCTCCCTTTTCTTGATAACAGAACCCCACTCTGTTTGGAGAGCTGCCCCTCCCCAAGTGGCCCCGGGGCTGCCCACCTCAGGGCTCTGCCCAGGACCCACCACAGGGAGGGGTTTGGAGGACACAAGCTGGGCCAACCTGAGTCTCTTGGTGGGGAACCTGAATCTTGAGGGGATCCCTGTCTCTCCCGGCTCTGACTCCTTGGTTGTCACGCATCTGGCCTTGACCCAGAGCCGTGAGCTCTTTCCCAGAACTGAGATGTCTGTGCTGGTGGCCTCAGCAAAGGGGGTGTGTTATAGGAACACAGGGGAGTTTCAGGCCCCATGGGAAGGGAGGGTGTGTGTGT